ATAGGAGGGTAAGTGTGGGTGCCAGTCGCGGTCCGATTTGGGTCGTGACAGTTTGATATTTTTAGAACCATCTCTTTTCTCCCATTTCACCTTAGCAATAAGTCCATCTTGAGTTTGAGCCCTGATTTTGAACCTAGGTTGCCCTTGATCATATAACCACCCCTTTTCAAATTCCAATTAATCCTTCAAAGTTTAGACTCTTCAATTGATTGCGCATATACCATGAGTCTATCTAGGGTCATATCATCATGTAACATCACAGTACGACATTCCTCCCTCACTAAGTCGGCAACCCCGATCACAAAGCGACTCATTTCATCCCTTGGATTAGAAACAAGAGATGGGGCATATCTAGATAACATTGAGAATTTCAAAGAGTATTCCTCAACACTCATATTGCCTTGATTGAGATTGATAAACTCCTCCACCTTAACTTCCCTCCTTTCACGGGGAAAGTACTTACCAAGAAAAGCTTCCTTAAATTCTTCCCCCTCAATAGGATTCGACTCCTATGGCCTATTATCCTTCCATTGAGTGTACCATATTTGAGAAACATCCTCCGATTGGTATGAATCCAACTCCGCCTTCTCCCTAGATGTAACCCCCATAGCACTCAACACCTTATACACTCCATCAAGAAACTCTTGGGGATCCTCTCCCACCTTAGAGCCAAGAAAGATAGGAGGATTCATCCTCATAAAGTCTCTCAATATAGAGGTCATAGTGCTCTCCAACATTCACCCTAGGCACTATGCTCAAATTCACTTGAGTAGTCACGACTTAGGCTAAAGCAAGCAAAGTCTCTCTAATATCCACTACTTAAAAAAATAGTGAATACCGACTTCAAATGATGTCGGTAATTTTCGACCTCCGGAGCTCAGTATTGTTAAAAATAATAAAACTAGTTGGATTTTAGGCAAAATAAGGAGGGGAAAAAATTCCGACCTCAAACGGTCGGTATTTTTCATAGAAAAAATTAATTACAATAAAAATTGACTTCTTGACGTCGGTATTAAATAAAATAAGTGAATAAGAATATTTTATTTTTGGTATTTTTATTTCATCAATATTCATATACCGACATCATGAGGTTGATATTTTTATTTCATCCAAATACTAACATCATGAAGTCGGTATTTTTATTTCATCCAAATACCAACCTCATGAAGTCGGTATTTCTTCTTCATCCAAATATCGACCTAATAAGGTCGATATTTTTACTTTATCTAAATACCGACCTCATGAGATCGGTATTTATATTTCATGTAAATACCCACCTAATAAGGTGGGTATTTTTATTTCATCTACATCCAAATACCGACATATGAGGTTGGTATTTTTATTTAATCCAAATACTGACATCATGAAGTTGGTATTTTCATTTCATCCAAATATCGACCTCATGAAGTCAGTATATTTTCTTCATTCAAATATCGATCTCATGAGGTCCATATTTTTACTTCATCTAAATGCCGACCTCATGAGATCAGTATTTATCTTTCATCTAAATACCGAAATAATGAGGTCGGTATAAATACCGACATCATGAGGACGGTATTTTTATTTTATCCAAATACTGACATCATGAAGTCGGCATTTTTATTTCATCCAAATACCGACCCCATAAAGTTGGTATTTTTTCTTCATCCAAATATCGACCTCATGAGGTCGGTATTTTTATTTCATCTAAATACTGACTTCATGAGATCGATAGTTATCTTTTATCTAAATACTGACCTAATGAGGTACGTATTTTTATTTCATTCATATCCAAATACCGACATCATTAGGTCGATATTTTTATTTCATCCAAATATTGACTTCATGAAGTCAGTATTTTTATTTTATCCAAATACCGACCTCATGAAGTTGGTATTTTTTCTTCATCCAAATACCGACCTCATGAAGTCGATATTTTTTCTTCATCCAAATATCGACCTCATGTGGTCAGTATTTTTACTTCATCTAATACCGACTTTATGAGATCTATATTTATCTTTCATCTAAATACCGACCTAATGAGGTCGGTATTTTTATTTCATCCATATCCAAATATCGACATCATGAGATCAGTATTTTTATTTCAACCAAATACTGACATCAAAAGTCGGTATTTGTATTTCATCCAAATACTGACTGCATGAAGTCGGTATCTTTTCATCTTCTAAATATCGACCTCATGAGGTCAGTGATGTTATTTTTGTTAAATAACGACCTCATGAGGATGGTTTTGCGTAAACTAAAAAACAAAAAATATTATAATGCCGACTTCCAAAAATTTGTAAAATTAAATATCATGCAATTTAATTATTTTAATATAAATATTTATATCGTTCAATTAACTTTAAATAAATAGTACTCTAGATGACAATTTTATATCAGTTAAAAAATAAACTAATATAATATACCGACCTCTCGATGTCAATATTATTTATTTAATATGATTCCTTTTATTTTTCTTAATATTTAATGTGATACCGACCTCATGAGATTGGTATTTTTTTGTAATAAATTTCATTTTAACAAAAGCGACATCCAGAGGTTGGTTTATTTAAAATATTTCTAATAATCATAACTTTTGTTATTTAGCATAATACTAAAATTTAATTTGAAACATACAATTAATTGTTCAAAAAGTGTAATAATTTTATATACTTTATCAATAAAAAGTTAGACTTCGTGAAAAAATTAAAAAAAATATGTCTAATCTATATTTAGAGTATGAAATACGTTGATATGAATTAGGATATAATTATACTTATATTTCTAGAGTAATGTACAAAACTCTATTAGTGTGTCATCTAATCGTGAACTTAATATCTCATGTTATGCTGTAGAGGTGAAGAGCTAACATATAATTTATTCGAGTATGAAATGCGAGATAGTATTATTATATACTTTCGATCTTGAATGTATGTCAAGTGTAGTGATCACTTCCTAATTATGAATGACATGTAAAGGATACTTCATCTAAGTATGAAAGACGTTAATTAACTATGTATGAAATATATTATCAATTAAATAAATGTCGATGATCTATTTAAAGAGATTTATATATTAGAAATGATATTGATAAACTTTCGTTCATAGATAAAATTAAATTTATATAATTAGGAGGTGTATAATTTAGATTTATAAAATTAACTTGATGGATAAATTAAAATTATAAAATTAAACTTCTCTCTCTCTCTCTCTCTCTCTCTCTCTCTCTCTCTCTATATATATATATATATATATATATATATATATATATATATAT